AGATAAATGAAAAGTAGTCGACAGTGCTAACAGCATTTCACAACAGAAGAAAGGCAATGACAAAGAATTCTGTTTTCTGTTTGCTCAAAGATTACAAAAGAATTTTGTTTTCGTAGGTTTCCCCGATTCACGAAAACCTTGTGATAAAAAATAGACCATGGTTCGAGAGATACCAGCCATTGTCTTATAAAATTGCCACTCGATCTGGAAATGAAGTCGAATTTCTGGATATGGTGCGTCGATGTAACAAGGCTAACGTACGAATATACGTCGACGTGGTTATTAATCACATGACGGCGGACGCAGACAACGCGATAGGCACCGGCGGTACGCGGGCTGATCCGAGAAACTTCGATTATCCGGGTGTCCCTTATACCATCAAGGACTTCCACACACCGCCGTGCGCTATCGACGATTACAATGACCCTGAAGAGGTCCGTAATTGCGAACTGTCCGGCCTTCACGATCTGGACCAGAGCAAGGAGCACGTTCGCGAGAAAATAGTTGAATTTCTCAACCACGCCATCGACAACGGAATCGCCGGCTTTCGGTAATTATCCCCAATCGCATTTGGCGTATAATCTCTTTCTTTTATCGAAAATTATTGGCGGAGCAATTGACAGAATTTATTTGATATAAAAGCGCAATTAAGTTGGCGGGAAATTGCTGAAAGAGCTCCGCGAGATATCGATTGAATCAGTGGCGTTAAATTTTTCAGTACTTTTTCAACCGCAATTTGCAGCGGTCAGTCCGAGTTTAGCTGCACGGAAAAAAACATAAAATTGATTAAGTCATTAGTAGCCGCGATCGCGTTTTACTGATAAATTCCTATCTGCGTGCAACGATCGACGCACGGTCGGTACATTCCGCGACAAAATATGCGAATGAAACATAAAATTCGAAGTGTAAAATCGCAGGACGAGACTCTCTATTCCAATGCATCTCTCTCTTTTCTTCTTGCGTCGAAGAGGCGCCGAAGAGTGATGATGTTTAACATTAAACCGGACGAGCGGTGCCGCGGAGCACTGACAGTGGCCGGCTCGTCTGGTAGCATTAATAAATGAGGAACATCAGGTTTTAATTACGCACCTTGCTCATAATTGTAACCCGCAGCGAAATCGTACCATCTCGTACCGAACCGGTGGCTCTACAAGCGGAAAGAGCGATATATGCGTCGGGAATGATAACGGGGCGGACTGTACTGTGCATCGCGAACTGCGAATACCTCGCATACATTCCGAGAAGGAATACGATGATACGCGCGCGTTAATCACGATTATTAAGAAATCCTGACGAGATGTACGTTGAATGTGCGCTAAAGTCATGATGTGAAAAAAAGTAGAAAAAGTTTGCTAGAACAGCAGCATTGTGAATTCTGTTGTAATAAAATTTCTTAGTTATCGCATAGATAACATTTTGCTTGCAAAAGATATTCTGATAAATCGATATATTATTTCGCTATATAATTACAAATTGATTCTTATTCCATTATAATAGTTAACGACAAAATACATTTAAAAACATTCTAAAAATCTGCTAAGAGATTATTTTTTCAGCAGTAAATTCGTATTTCTACAAAACAAACAAATTTATATTTAGAAAGATTATTTCTATTTTATTAACAAAACAAATTTGTTATAATATCAAATTATTGCTTATAGTAGCAAACCTTTTCCTTTTTGTTTAGCTACACGTTGTAGTAGCAGAAATTTTACTGCTGCGATCAAATTTTTCTTTTCCATGTACGATCTTTCACTCGCGCAAAATTATGATTGCGTCAAAAATAACGTGACAAAATGATTACAAGCACATATGCAATAATTTCACGAAATATATTTGACGCAGTATTATGATTAATAAAAATTCCGTCGCGATAAACATATTTCAGTAAATTAAAATATGCGACAATAATCCGAGGATTCCAAATAACTCGGTCAATTAATACGACGGTCGGCCGTATCTTGTAAACAAAATAACTCTCTGCACTAACTATCGCGTGTTACTCAGAAGTAAATTACAGCGAAAATAAATAACGTTACTCGGTCACATTATTTTCCGCGAAGTTGCAATGAACTCCGACCCTCGGTTCGTTAGCCACCGTGCTGCATCGACGCGGCAGCAAAAAGAAGAGTGCTCGACGAATGCAGTGATTATCGCGAGTGCGATTAAATTCAACAGGATTTGCAGCATCCGCAATATTCAAATGGTGAAAAATCTTAATTGACCAAATAGCGTAAATTAATTAACGAGCCGACTCCTCGGCTTCAGCATTCATAATTCGGCGCGGAAATAACTGTCTGGAATGTTGAACCAACGACCCGAGCCGCATTAGCTACCGATCCTGTCTGCATGCCGCATGCGAAATAAGAAGTATTCGGAATGAGCGGTCATCTGTAATAAGACATCTGTACGGCAAGGCAAAGACGCAATAAGACAAGACGCATGGAAAATTTTATATGCAACTTTATACCCGATGCAACCTTATACAACATGCGTGAGGAGCAGCCTGTTGAGAAAACTCATGAATTAATCATTTATTTGAGTACAGCAATTAATTATTGAAGTATATAGTTATCATATTTATCCCAATAAAATTTTTATCGCGTATTACAGCAGAGACAAAGTCGTCATCATTATAACAAATGGACACACGTAATTAGATTAAAGTAAAAAAAATACGTTTATATAAAAAAGATAACATTGTTTACAATTTTTATCAAGAAGTCATTATGTCTTGCTTGTTTTTTTATTTTTTAATGTGTATTATTGCAAATAACACTGCACAAAATTATCATACGTTAATGACTTTACTACAAAGGTGATGTTACAGTTTCATAATATTTTGTAGTGATAACATCGTAACGATATTTCGTATTATTACAAAAATATGAGTATTTAATATCACCATCTAATTACAGATAAATCTTTTTTGATTGCGTATTTTGCACTAGAAGACACATTTCAAGTAGCAATTGTTCATGATTATTAATATAAATATGCTAAATATATTGTTATCTCTTTCTATTCTATTTTTTTACAGCGTTGATGCAGCTAAGCACATGAGGCCGGAAGATCTATGTGTGATTTACAATAGAACGAAAAATTTATCCACCGAATTTGGATATCCCAGTGACACGCGACCTTATATCTATCAGGAGGTCATCGATCTCGGTGGTGAAGCTATCACCAAGTTCGAGTATCAGAATTGTGGAAATGTAATCGAGTTTCAGTATGGCATTATCCTAGGAACTATGTTCCGTAAACAAGATAACCTAGAAAGATTATGGACTATCAATGATCCGAAAAGTTGGAGACTGTTAGCTTCTAATAATGCGTTAACCATGGTCGACAATCATGATAATCAGAGAGGCCATGGTGCCGGCGGAGCCGCTATTCTTACATACAAAAATCCGAAAGAGTACAAGGCAGGTTTTAATGTTTTGAGAAATTATAAGTAACAAACAGAAGTGTTTCCGTTTTACTATATAAAAATTTTTAATTATCATATAGATGGCGATAGCCTTTATGCAAGCCAATCTTTACGGCCACACTCGAATTATGAGCTCCTTCGCATTCGAGGACCCGAGCCAAGGACCGCCGGCGGACGCGGACGGCAACACCATTTCGCCTGAGATCGTCGACGGCATGTGCGTTAACGGTTGGGTCTGCGAGCACAGATGGCCACAGATTTATCACATGGTCCAATTTCGCAATATTGTGAAAAATGAAAGCCTGGATAACTGGTGGAGCAACGGAAATAATCAGATCGCCTTTTCCCGCGGCGCTAAAGGCTTCGTCGCCTTTAACATCAATGGTGATCTTCACGAACGATTGCAAACAGGACTACCGGCTGGTACGTATTGCGACGTCATAACCGGAAGTGTCGTAAATTGCAAGTGCAGCGGAAAATCGGTCGTGGTCAACGACGATGGTACCGCTGACATCGAGATTCTGGCAAATGAGCCGGAAGGTGTGCTAGCTATTCATGTTCAGGTTAGTGGAATAAAAATCAAGAAAAAAATAACAAATATATGACAATATTATCTAATTTTTTATATTATTGCAGGAGAAACTATAAAATTGCGCCTTGAAAGCAATATTCTTTAAATCTGGATGTGGTTAATACAGAATTACGTGTAACTTCGAATGCAATACTATGCTGTAGTATACAAATAAAATTGCATTATAAAATTAATTGCATTTTCTTTCTTTGGCAATGATAAATATATTATGTATACGGTGTACGTGTTTCGTATTTATGTGCACATATTTTCATAAAATAATCCTTGTTTGTTCAGAGCTTCAAGCAGTCTCTATAAATACTCATCTAAGAACATACCGTAATATTTAAGATAAGCAGTATCCGTAAGAAATTTTTGTGATAATATTTACTTAATCTAAATTAAAATATCATTGATAAAGACATCAAAATATCTAATAATAACTTCATACACAAGATTAATCTTGGTAGCGAAATAAAGGAACATCCGGAAAAAATTTACAAAATTTTTTAAAATTTCGGCAAATTAATTCATGTTTTAAACCAGTTTCAATTTTATTTATCATTTTTTTAATTGAAGCGACGCTATTCAAATCCAGCTGCAATTATCGAAAAACGTGTCTCCTATTTTCCATACTTTTTAGTAAATTGTTATAATATCTGGACACACGACACCTTTTTGTCACATGTGTAGACGAATCTATCTTTAATGCTCTTCACATATGTTTCAAAATCATTATTATTGATCTTATTTTGCATTTTCCATTTTTTGAACAGGTGCATTTTTTGAACAACAAAACACGTGCAATGCAACACTTCATGAATAGATAACCTTATGAATTAGATGACCTTATTTTTACCCATTTAATAAATGAATAAACTTAATGACGTTGCGTACATACATTCACATGATACATTTGTTGACGCGCATTGTTGACAAAAAATATGCAACTGAGTGTAATTATAAAATGGAACAACAAGCATATTTCATAAAAATAATTACGAAAAATAAAATTGTCAGCACACAAACATATGTGTTTGCTCGAATGTTAGTATAAGAAGTATAACAATGGCACAAATATGTGATTATTAGAATGGAAGAAATTTATGAAAACAGAAATTATCAGTAATTCATGTAAACACAAATTATCAATAATTTATGTTTTCATAAGAGACAACGAACTAATTAAGGTCAACTATATAACAAAAAACAAACACTATTTTGCAATATAAAATATAAAATTACAATTATCATTATAGGATCAATATAAAAAACTACGTAATATTGTATTCTCTATCTTAAATTGTAATAATCTTTTATTTCGTTTATAGCACACAATAATATTTAATAAGTGAATTGTAATTATTATTAATAATAAAAAAAATGTGATAAAAAATATCGAATTTTATGTAATGTTAGTTATTTTCCTAAAATTCGGCACGTAAAATTTTCAATAAAGTTTCATTAAGTTTAGTTACTTTTGATTATCGTAATTATGCATTTTCCCGCTCTCGAGACAGCAACGGACAGATAACGCATTTATGCAGATGTTGTTACAGCTGCAACCTTGGATGTCAGTGCACTTGGATGTCAATTCAAATTTTTAATTGGAGAAATGTTACTCATTAATTAGATAACTTATAAGAAACGACGTTGATCGATCTACATTTTAGCGATAAATACGCATTTATCAGTGCGGTGACGTGATTCAAGCGGACAGGAATTCCTGGTAAAATGACGCATCGTCGTAAAACAACAACCTTCGCACGAGCGGTGGGTGTTATTATATATTCCCCGGAACGGATTTGAAGCATCATTGTGCGAACATGCGTATACTGGTATGTGCATTAACAATATTGTCGGCGGTAGCCGCACAGAAGGATACTCACTATGCACCCGGCCACGATGGCATGGTGCATCTGTTTGAGTGGAAATGGAATGATATCGCGGTAGAGTGTGAAAGGTTTCTCGGTCCTCATGGATTCGGTGGCGTACAGGTGAGAATATAACAAAATATAACAAGCAATCAATTAATTTTTTGAGAGAAAATTGTTGACCAATGCTGAACGGAGAATTGAATCTACAGGAATAATTTTAATAAATTTATAAATACGCATAAAGTAATAAAACATTTTTTAATTAGTTAAAATTATTAATAATAATTAACTGTTTTAATAAATCAGTTTTTGTTTCGACGCGGCAAAACGACAAAATAACAATGAAATTTGAGCGCATTCGGACAAAAAAAGACTTAGAAAAATTAAATCAATATTAGAATGATAAGATTAGATAATATTAGAACTAAGTTAACACATTAGAATGTGACAGAACACATATGTGTTGATCTGTTATGTATTAATATATCATCGCCTGTTTGTGTGCTATCGTGAATCTTCTCAAATAATACAATACATCCCGATGATTATATTATCAAGTATTTGTTTAGTATCTGTTCCGCCTGTCTTAAAAATTTGATGTACTATTTAAAGTTGTTATCATAAAATTAATATGTACATACGAAATCAATATTGCTTTAACACACAAAGTTGAATGAACTTTTAACAATTGGAGGCGTGTCTAATATCCATGCATCACGATTGAAGACTGTGTTTGACATTTTGTTATCTCACAATTCTTGACGTATAAGAGATTAAATGTAAAGTTAAAATATTATCACAACAACTCATACCATAAATTAATCAATAAAAATATGGTTTTTCCAACACTAAAACATAACATTGCGCGCGCTACGCGCGCGTAAAAAATTTAGCTCCTTAAAAATATGAAATATAATATAAAAAAAAAAATACAATTGACTTACAAGATATTCATTGAATTTCGTACAGATTGATCGAAATTCTATAAATTGCTGCAGGTTTCGCCGATCCAAGAAAACGTAATTGTACCCAATAGACCGTGGTGGGAACGTTATCAACCTATATCTTACATCTGGCACACGAGATCGGGTACGCCACAGGAATTCAAGGATATGGTTCGCAGGTGTAACAACGTCAACGTGAGAATTTTCGTCGACGTAGTGTTCAACCACATGACTGGCAATCATCAAGATGCAAAGGGTACCGGCGGCTCGACGGCGAACACTTTTAACTTCAGCTATCCGGCAGTGCCGTACACACACGCTGATTTTCACTATCCTCCTTGTCCCATCAACAACTACAACGATGAGTTCAATGTAAGATACTGCGAACTGTCCGGTCTGCACGATCTCAATCAGAGTAAGGAGCACGTCAGAGAGAAGATTGTCAACTTTTTGAACGAAGTCATCGACGCTGGAGTGGCTGGTATCCGGTTAGCAGAACCTTGCAATCTTATACGTGCTTTTGTCGTAATGTGTCTTTTTATGATTTCAATGTTCCGCGAATTTTTCATCAAAATCTAATTTTTTTCTATAATTTCTCGATGCGAACGAGTTTTAATAATAGTTCGAACTTAATCAAAAACGTTAGTGAATCAAGACGTATGCTTTTATTTTTATCTTGCCAATATAAAAAATCTCAAACTCCTAATTTTTTAATTTCAGAGTGGATGCAGCTAAACACATGTGGCCACATGATCTAAAAGTGATTTTCTCGCGGCTGAAAAATCTCAATACCGATCATGGTTATCCTGCAGGCACGCGGCCTTATATAGTTCAAGAAGTAATCGATTACGGTAGTAACGAAGCGGTCAAAAAATATGAATACAACAGTTTCGGCGCGGTGACAGAATTCACATATGGCATGAAGATCAGCAACGCCTTGAGGGGAGGCGATCAAATAAGATGGTTCCGTAATTGGGGAGAAGAATGGGGCATGTTACCGTCAAAGGACGCTCTGGTGTTCATCGACAACCATGATACTCAACGGGGCAATTCCGCAATACTGAACTACAAGTCGGCGAAATTGTATAAGGTTGTAAAATAGTTATCGAAAAAAAGTACAAAAAATAACGTTAAAGAGAAATAGACTACTAAAGAAGAATTTAACTAGTATATTATCAAAATGCGAATTCAATAGCGAGCGATCGTATCGTAGATGGCCGTTGCTTTCATGTTGGCGCATCCCTACGGCGTTCCGCGTATTATGAGCTCCTTCGCTTTTGACAATTTCGACGCGAGTCCGCCGCAAGACGCTTCCGGTAATCTTCTGTCTCCGATCATCAATTCTGACCTGACTTGCGGCAACGGCTGGGTCTGCGAACACAGGTGGCGTCAGATTTACAACATGGTGCACTTCCGAAATGCTGTGAATCAAACCAACGTCGGATTCTGGTGGGACAACGGCTGGAATCAAGCCGCCTTCTGCCGCGGAAATCGCGGATTCTTCGCGATCAACAATGACAGCAATGATTTGAAACAGAATCTCTTCACCTGTCTGCGACCCGGCACTTACTGCGACGTCATTTCCGGCAGCGTGGAGAATAACAAGTGTACTGGCAAAGTTGTAAAAGTGGGTCAAGACAGCAGGGCCTACATAGAAATTTTGAAGCACGAGGAAGATGGTGTACTCGCCATCCATGAATTGGTAAAAATATGCCTCTGCATAAATTTGCCGTTCGTTCAATTCTTTCTAACGTGATATTTTGCAATTTATACGTATTCGTTTGACATGACAATCCATATTTAAATTATACACATTGCTATAAATTTTAAAATTCCGAACATCTCGTGACTAGCAGTGCAATAATAAGATTTCTCGGAATAATAATAGAATATTGCTGAGATATTAACGTGAAATGGACGTTAATCATGTTTGAAGGAAGTAAAACGAATATTTTTTCAAGCATAATAATTTTGATTAATCAAAATTATTTACGCTTAATTACGCTTAAATTATTAGCAACATAATTTTTAATCATTGTTTTTTTGTTTGCAGGCAAAGCTGAAAGACTAACGACTAACTAGTTATGGATATGCAATATGTTAATTATTATATATTAATCTATATATAATATTTATATTATTACTTATTATGTATTAAAAATAATGATATCAAATATTATTAATAAATTTAAAAAATCAATTTTTATTTATTTTAAAAATTTTAATTAATATGTTAATGGCAAGTTTTGGAAAACTTTTTTAATCGAAAGACTATTTCATATTTATTTTGTCTTATTGATAATAAAATATAAAAATATGTCGATGGAGTGTGTTGTCTTAATCTTTTAATTGACTTAATCTATACTACTTTATCTTATCTTTTGATGTTTCAGAAAGTGTAATATTATTATATTCTCTTTTTTATCACCTTATCAAACCAGATAATATTCATCATGTGTCACGTGTGGCTGACATATAATCGTTACTAAAGAAAATCTCATAATTACACTTATTACATATTATTGAAAACATGACACAGTTAATAAAAATAAAATACTGAGATACACATGCTATTTTTCAACAAAGTTTATTTTAACAGAAACAATGTACTGTTTTTCCTCTTGTCACCATTAATTTCTACTATACATGATATGACAATTAATCGTAAGATAATACACGACGGACTCGCGATGGAAAAATAAAAATAGTCGAAAGGAGATCTCGGGTGAGAGATGGAGATGGATACCGCAAATTTGATTTTAAGGAAGTGAAGTATGCCAAAGGATAAGTGGAAAATATTTGGAAATATCACAAAACAATTACCTTATCGCTGGTTTTATCATTTCTCTAACTTTTTAATCCGTGTGCGATTAGATTATCCTTCGCTGAAAAAAATCTGTCACGTTATTCACCGCTGGAAACCTTTCTTTCTCGTCCGCTCGTTTCTTTTCTCGTCGAACGAATATGCTGCACATGATAATTAATGCGTAACGCTCGTAATACGCATTAAGTAGCGTGAAATCGACTAAGATACTAAATAAAATACTACGGGACATTTGTAAAAGCACGACATAAATAAATGCTTAAGCATTATGTACAGTGATCGTGTTTAAGTAAAAGCCGCTAACTCGGTTAGTGTTAGCGCGCCCGAGTTCGCCGTGCGATAAAAAGATACTTCATTCACTCAAGATAGAAGAGAATTCTTCTCAATGAGCGTTACGTTCGTTAAACAGCAAACAGGAAGAGATGTTACGTCACGTGTGCGCGCACATATGTACATCATATCGTGCGTACATATGTATGCTGAAAGATATTGTACTGCTAATTACAAATAATAGGCACGTAAACAAACTTCAGCCTGCAATTACCTTACTGCATGCAGAAGCAAGTGTAATACCATGTGCGATCACAACGTGTCCAATTACCATTGATAATTTTGCGCAAGTAGTAACAGACTTATGTAATCAGCCGTAGCGGAAATACAAAAGAATTTCCATCTTTCACAAGTGTCATTTTTAATTGTTCTCTCACCGATTAGATTGAATAGGCATAAAAGCAAATTTCGAGACGCACTGCGGTTTTTAACGGTCTTGCATCATTTTTTCTTTTTTTTTTTCGGCAAGATGCAAACTCGGGAGCGCAGACAGGCGGATAGCAACGCGCCTTAGACGCGCGCGTGTGTGTATGTGTGTGTGTGTATTTGTGTGTATACGTACAGTTATAAGTTTATATAGTCTGCAGTAAATTCAGGCTAACGTAAATCTAAAGAAAAAAAAATACTGCTCGTCTTACGAACTGATTCACTTGCCACGCTCGCTCTCTTTCTCTCTCGCGAATGGTGCGTGTGTGCACAGTTTCACACGCCGCCCTACCACCATTTACGCCTTAATTCGTTACGTGAATACAATAAGGCAACGGGGTTACTATATACCACTAAATAAATAAACGCTTGCGTGTTGAATCTTGAGAGTTAAAGGGGCGCTAATGTACATTTTCTTACAAACTACACGGGTCCATCGCACGAAATCGCCGCCGTCTCCGCATATCGCGCGCTTCGATGTGTGTATAATGTTTATGTGTATAATGTGTTATGTGTGTGTGCGTGCGCGCGCGCGTGTGTGTGTGTGTGTGTGTGTGTGTATGCGTGTGCTCGCACGTGGATCTTACTTTCTGCACGTAGAGCGTTAGCAAAAATATAATTTAGTTATATTTATCGTATAATAATTCATCCATATAAAAAACTTCGTTAAAATATATAAAAGAAACAACGATTTGAGCAAATACGTATCTCCTACGGTAGTTAAAGGTTATCGCGTCGAAACGTATTTATTGTTATTGCACGTAATTCATCCTAATTAGATCTCCCTTTTATACGTATACCTACACTTACATCCGCTTCGCACTCACGCGTAATCGCATTCGTTCCGATACATATGTACACATATACGCCTATCCTCCCGCGCACAACCTCTTTGTCTCTTCTTTCTCTTTTCGATATCGAAAGCTAATGCTTCGTTTCGCCGTCATTTTAAAGACACGACTTCGATCGAGAAAAATTGTCAATCGACGATCAAGAAGTATGATCTCAGATAATCGAGAGTAATATACACTCACCCGAAAAAAAGCGGTACACTGAAAATGTGGGAAAAATTCATCAAATTTCAACTGACGATAACTTCGTAAATAATAAAGATAGAAAGTTCTATAAAATATGGAAATGAAGCTAAAAATCTCTACTTTAAGAATCAATTTATTTCAATGTTGCAAAATAAATTTATTGAAAATGGCGGATGACAAAGCGCGAGCATGCAAAATTGAAAAATAATGGTTCGAGTTTGCGACGGTGCACGGTATAAACAAAAATTGTAGCTTATTGGGATCAAAAG